CTAAGGTGGAAACGTGCCCTGCTCTACAGAGAATCACCCTCTATTTTCAAGGTCTGTCTGCTATTTGAAGATGTCCTCTATTTGAAGGTTGCCCAGTCCAAGTCTGTTTTGAAAGATAAGAAACCGTGAGAGAGAGCGTGCGCAGCAGGAACCTTGAAATTGCCTGTCTACAGTCAGCGGCACCTGGCCAGCAGACTGAGGAAGAAAACAAATTGCCTGTTGTCTCCCCTACTATGGTGAGGGGTGCTGAATTTGTATTTAAATCACAGCATTTTATTATTATCAATTATTATTATTTATTATTATTATTATTTCAAAAGGAATCACCATATGAAGCCTGGTTTTCTCTTTTTTGGCAATGTATAACTGGCCCCCCTACTTTGGTCTGATGTAGCAGGACTCTTCTTGCCGCCAAATGCTGGGGTTGCCTATTATTATTATTATTATTATTATTATTATTATTATTATTTCTCTTGAGGTGCATTTTCAAGGGTATGGCTTCCTTTAAAGTGCTTGGAGCCATGCGCTACAACAGTTATTTCCTAAGTTCTAGTTCTCAGGCTGTATTATGGCTGATTTTAAAAATCTACTTCTTTAAAATAAATGAAAACAAACCACGCCAGTTGACAAAACTGATAAAAACAATCGAGCAGAATAAAACGCACATTTAAGGGGGTGGAAGAGCATGACTCATCACACAAGCATATTTTGAATTCTCTCTTTATCCCCACCCCCACCCCATAATAGCAAATTTTCAGAACGTGGGGCTCCCTGTTTCTTCTACAGCAGACCTGACCAGCGTTCATGTCTGTGGGATCTGAAAAAAGGCAACCAAAATGGTCAAGGGGATGGAGCGACTCCCCAGTGAGAAAGGGCGAGGAAGAGGTGATGTGGCAGAAGTTTATAAAAAAATATCCATGGCATGGAGAAAAGAGAAGAGTTTTTCTCCCTCTCTTACAACTCTAGAATTTGTAGACATCTAAGGAAGCTGAATGTTGGGAGATTCAGGATTTTATTTATCTATTTTTTAAAAGCCCTTCTTCACGCAGTACAGTGGTACCTCGGATTAAGTACTTAATTCGTTCTGGAGGTCCGTTCTTAACCTGAAACTGTTCTTAACCTGAGGTACCACTTTAGCTAATGGAGCACGATTTCTGTTCTCATCCTGAAGCAAGGTTCTTAACCCGAGGTACTATTTCTGGGTTAGCAGAGTCTGTAACCTGAAGCATCTGTAACCTGAAGCGTATGTAACCTGAGGTACCACTGTACAGTGGTACCTAAGGTTAAGAACTTAATTTGTTCTGGAGGTCCGTTCTTAACCTGAAACTGTTCTTAACCTGAGGTACCATTTTAGCTAATGGGGCCTCCTGCTGCCGCCGTGTGATTTCTGTTCTCATCCTGAAGCAAAGTTCTTAACCCGAGGTACTATTTCTGGGTTAGCGGAGTCTGTAACCTGAAGTGTCTGTAACCCGAGGTACCACAGTCAAACCATGGAAGTGGCTCCCCCAGGTGGCAGGGATGGCTTCCAACTTGGATGGTTGTAAAAGAGGATTAGACTTTATGGAGAGGATTTATGGAGAAGGCTATCAATGGCTACTGGCCATAGGGGCTCTGCTCTGTCTCCACAGTCCAAGGCAGCAATGCTTCTGAATACCAGTTGCTGGAAACCGCAGGAGGGGCGAGGGCTCTTGTGTTTGGGCCCTGCTTGTAGATTTCCCACAGGAATCTGGCTAGTCACTGTGAGAACAGGGTGCTGGACGAGATGAGTCACTCCCTCAATCCTGGAAGCTCTTCTCATGTTTTTATGTACCGTACTTTGGTTTTTCCCTAGAACTCTGAGCTCCACTAAGCAGTTGCAAATGGCATCCATTTCAAATTAAAGGATTCTGAGCCCAGCGAGTTGTTCTGAGTACCAGAACTGAACTGAGTTCATAGCCCTTCCCTGGAAAAACCCACTCCTAGTTATTTCTGCTTCCACCTTCTTGATTTCAGCGTGATAATTCTGGGTATGGGGGTAGGGCTCCATTTTGTTGTTGCCAATGCTAATCCATCAGAAATACCTGGTGAGCTACTTCAAATCATTATGAGATCTACCGACAGATCCTAATCCACCTTCTGCTTGTGTCGGCCCTATGTATTTTTAATCTTTTGTTGGAAGCAGCCCAGGGTGGCTGGGGAAACCCAGCCAGATGGGCAGGGTATAATAAATAAATAAATTATTTATTATTATTATTATTATTATTATTATTATTATTATTATGTCTTCCTGTTTCTCTCTAGTCTATTTGTGTGCTGCAACTGCTTATGCAGAAACTAACAAATATAATATTTCAGAGTAGTTTGAATGACAATTGATTGTTAAAAGGCTAACGTAGCGGAACATATTTACGTTACTGAAATAAAAAGGAATAGATCTAGATTTGCTCAGTCCTTGTGCAATTGCACAACTGAAAAGGATTTCTAGTATGCATTAAGACACGTTGCTTTTTCTGGGGGCAGCTAATTACGATTCCTTCAGGGAGTAAGTTCCATTGAAAAGGATTATTCATTTATACTTTGTTTACTTAAATCCACATATTCACTGCATGATGATCAACAAATTAGTTAAGGATTTTATTTTCATTTTTGAAAAAAAACAACAACAACCCCAATACTGAACTTTCAAATATTATGTTCTAATGTGACGCTTGTGGCTATTTGTACATGCAAAAAACCCCAGCACTGAATGTTCTTGTGCCGGATTCACTTTAGTTTTGATCAAGAGCAAAGATAAAGAACATTGTGTTTAAGGCACAAGCAGGTTTTCGTCTGACCAAGTGCTGCTCTTAAAAATAAATAAATTAAAAATTAACCACTTCTCGGGCCAAGTCCCATGAGAAATGACAACTTCTGGTTTCCTTCACCAAAAGCTTTTATGAGACCCAGCTTAACTGTAGTTAACAGTGAATAAAAAGTGAAATTAGAGTTGTTTGCCAAGTCTAAAGACAAATTAGGAAATAAGCTTTGAAGTTTTCTTGGAATTCAAAGGACCTAGAACTCGCCCAGGGGACCAGAGAGAGAAAGAGAATTATATTGGGCTGCAAGCCAGAGACATATGTACAGAGGTCCAGGCACACAGTTGGGGACTTATGGCAAGTCCAAGGAAAAGGCCAAGATAAAGCATCTTTCCCTTCACGACAGCAGCTCTCAGAGGGTACCTGTGCTCTGACACAGTGAGCTTGCCCTTCCCTATCAAAAGTAATGGATGTACACAAAGTTCGGATCAGCTGGACTGTAGTCCTGATCTGAGTAACATGAATAACTCCTTATTGCTCTGGCCTATGGGCTTCTTTATTTGCGTCTTTATTTTTTACATGAATATGCAAGGATTGCCACTTATTTACCACCAGGAAAAAAGCACACAAAAGAGGATACAGATATGTACAGAATCTGCACATGTCAATTAATATGTATAGATATTTAGAAACAATTGCTGTAATTTAAACAGAAATGCAGTACAGTGGTACCTCAGGTTAAGCACTTAATTCGTTCCGGAGGTCCGTTCTTAACCTGAAACTGTTCTTAACCTGAGGTACCACTTTAGCTAATGGGGCCTCCCGCTGCCGCCGCGCGATTTCTGTTCTCATCCTGAAGCTAAGTTCTTAACCCGAGGTACTATTTCTGGGTTAGCAGAGTCTGTAACTAAAGCGTATGTAACCTGAAGCGTATGTAACCCAAGGTACCACTGTACATCATAGCTTGGAAGCCTGTGACCAGGTGTGTTTTGTGGCTGCCCAGGTGCTGCTAAATGTTGATGGGCAACTCTCAGGCTATTTCCTGTCTCCCTTTTTAGATCTCTATATCTTTAAACAGCACTTGGGCTATGAAACACTTTGAATAGAGAAAACTCTTCATAATAATTCTGAAAATTCACAGGAGCTGGTTTCACTGGGTTAGTTTCGAATTGCAGAGAGTGGGCAACCCCCTCCCCCTGGCAACCTCCTCTGCCTCCTAAAAAAAGCAGTTTCAGAACCCTTGGGCACATCATGGGAGGAGCTGCAGCAGGAAGTAGACGTTGGTGAAAATCGCCTCCCTTTCCTTCAGAGGAAAGCTTCTGCAGGATCTGAGTCCTGTCCACAAGCAGGAGCCAGCCCACTGAATGTAAGAAGCACAGAAATAAATCTCTGTTGGAACAAGAACATAAGGAGTGCCTTAGCATGGCCAATGATCAGGCGTGATGGGAGTTGTAGTTCAACAGAATCTGGAGGGTCCCACATTGGCTACCCCTATACCAGCTCCATATAGTTCGACATCCTTCTTCTAGACGCTACCAGAAAGCTTATCATGCCACAAAACTAACAGCTCTCCCCTCCATCATCTGCCCTCCAACAATGGGCAATTCACAGTCATAATACCTCCACGCATTTGTCTAAACCTGTGACCATAACTACATGTTGTAGCAGTGAATACCATAATTTAATAATGCGTTGCCTCGCAAATGGCAAATGCTAGGCTGTCCTAGATAAAGCTAGCAAATCACAGAACACACGTCAAAATATTTCATGCACAAAGGAATACCCTTGAGATTTTATCCTATCCACCTCTACTTAATGTAACTTCAGATGGATTTTCTTAAGTAGAAAGAGACTCAAATAAAAGCCTTACTGTCATTTAATCAAATAACGCTGCCCATTTGTGAATTTAAAACAAAAACATTTTTCTCTCGTGCAAATTCTTTAAACCCTTGAGTGCCTTTAAAAGAAAAACAAGCATTCTAGCACAAAAATATTGCTTACTATAAATACACCAGATGCATAGTAAAACCACCTAACATTAGATGAGGATATTACTGTCCATTCTCAGCAGGATCCAAGTATACATTTGACTTTATTTTTAATGCATTTTTCTCTTTAGCACTATGATTCAACAAGATAAAGCCCACTGCATCTATTACTGCAATTTATAACTTTAAAATGGGTTGGTACACAAAACATACACTTGGCCCTCCAGCTGTTTTGGGTCCTCCAGCTGTTTTGGGACTACAATTCCCACCATCCCTGACCACTGGGTCCTGTTAGCTAGGGATGATGGGAGTTGTAGTCCCAAAACAGCTGGAGGGACAAGTTTCGCCATCACTGATCTAAAGAAACATTGTCTTTTCTTCTTCTTACTTTAACAACATAAGAACACAAGGCAAGCCTGACGGATCAGGGCCATGGCCCCTCTAGTTCAGCATCCTGCTCTCAGTCCTGCGAGAAGCCTGCAAGCTTCACATGAGTGCAACCTGAGTGAAACAGCACCCTGCAGTTGGGCAGAGTAAGGCAGCTGCCTTAGGCAGCTGGGTTTTGGTGTCATGTGCTATGACTCCCAACCCTGGAACCTTGCCAGAGTCCTGTTGTTCTCTGCCCTCTGTCAGAAAGAGCTTCCAACCAGACCCGCTATACCTTGATTTGTTCTTGCCTACCTTGACCTGACTTTGCCAAATGCTACTTGCTTTCCCTCAAAACCTCAGGTGCCCATGGAATGAGCTATCATGGAAGAATAAGTAAAGGTAAAGGGACCCCTGACCGTTAGATCCAGTCGTGGACGACTCTGTGATTGCGGCACTCATCTCGTTTTACTGGCCGAGGGAGCTTCCGGGTCATGTGGCCAGCATGACTGAGCTGCTTCTGATGAACCGGAGCAGCGCACAGAAACGCTGGTACCTTCCCACCGGAACGGTACCTATTTATCTACTTGCACTTGGACGTGCTTTCAAACTGCTAGGTTGGCAGGAGCAGGGACTGAGCAACGGGAGCTCACTCCATCACAGGGATTCGAACCACTGACCTTCTGATCAGTAAGTCCTAGGCTCTGTGGTTTAACCCACAGCGCCACCCGCGTCCCTCATGGAAGAATAATAAAGTATTAATTATAAGTTTTATTTTATTGCATTTTTAACTCCCAGAGAGAGATGATTGTAGGATTTTCTGCCTTAGGTGCCAAAATAACTTGGCCAGTCTCAGGTACTTATTTATTATTATTATTATTATCATTCATTTATTATTTATTCAACTTATATACTGCCCTTTATCAAAAGACCCAAGGGTGGTGTACAACATTAACAACACATTTTACAGATCGTCAATAATAAAAACATAATAAAAGTAAGACAACATTAAATAATCATAATAACACACACACCCCATTTAACAAACCATAGATTATTTAATGGCCAAAGGATTGGGTAAAAAAGAATGTTTTTGCCTGGCACCTAAAGACATACAATGAAGGAGTCAAGTGAACCTCCTTGGGGAGAGCATTCAACAAATGGGAAGCCACCACAGAAAAGGCCTGTTTTCATGTTGCCACCTTCCGAACCTCTCTGGGATGGGGAACATAGAGAAGGGCCTCAGGTGGGTTTGTATGGTGAGAGGCAGTCCTTAATGAGATGATGAGCTCTATAAGGCTTTATAGGTCAACACCAGCACTTTGAATTGGACCTGGAAACTAACTGCCAGCCAGTGCAGTTGGGCCAAGACTGGTGTTACATGTTCAAACTATCCTGTTCTGTGAGTAATCTGGCCATTAAACTTTGCACCAGCTGAAGTTTTTGAAATGTCCTCAGAGGCAGCCCCATGTATAACGCATTACAGTAATCCACCCTAGAGGTTACCAGAGGGTAGGCCACAGAAGTCAGGCTATCCCTGTCTGGATAGGGGGGTAGCTTTGGGCGGGGGGGCGGCGGTGTCATTTGCTAATTCACCACTTAAAATGAACTGGAGTTTAAACAGCAGCCTTACTCATTTTATGCTGGGGTGTGGGGAAATCTTCCTGGACAATGCTCCCACAGTAATAAGGAAACAGACATTGTGTTCTGAGCAGTGGATAATTTTAATGCAGCCTATCACCCTAGCCAAAGAGATTTAGCACGCTTATCAACTCGTTTAATGTAGTCCAGATGAGAAAGATCTGCAGCACAATATGAAGCATTTGCCTCAAATAACATGAGAATCATTATCTACATTTGTTGGTCTTAAAACATTTCTATCCCACAAACACCCAAGGATGCTAAGGGGGGGGGGGATTAAAACAGAATAAAAATGACAGAACAAAGCAGTAAGAAGTAAACTAAATAATCATTTGTTTTTAACCAAAAGCTCTCTGAAACAGCCCTGTTTTGACCTGGCACCTGAATCCCAATAATTGATGCCACCACTAAGAAGACCCTGTCTTGTGCAGGTAGACACCACCCATCAGATAAGGGGACACTGAAAAAATCCTCTGGCAATGACCTCAGTGAATGGACGGACTCATTTATAAGTACGGGTGCTCAGGCTTCACTGAAGCATACACTGATGAGGATAGCAAAACTGCTACAGGACTTCAGCAACCCACAGAAAGCAGAAATACAGTTCACATGCATTCCAACACACCACAACTGCAAGAAAATTCTGAAAATAGCACATTCCCCTCTGAGACTCTTGACTGTCAGCACTCCCCAAAGTTAAGGCACAAAATGGGATGTCTGGGTTGTCGGAGTTCTGGGCGGTACAAAATGGAAGGGATGTGAATGAACTTTCACTCCATGCCTTCCCCACATATAAATCACTCCCCCTGCCCAGCTATTTGCTCTGCTGACAAAGCAACAACAGATACTGCTAACACCCTTTTCCTCCATTGGACATCACAGATTTGGCAGAGATAGTGGCATAGGCTAACAGGGGGCGTTAATAATAATTAATAATTATTTATTTATTTATTTATTTATTTATTTATTTATACATACCCCACCCATCTGGCTGGGTTTCCCCAGCCACTCTGGGCAGCTTCCAACAGAACACTAAAATACAGTAACACTAGCTCTGATATTCTGATCAAAATCAAAGGATCCCACAAGTGATATTAAGCCATTCTTTAAGGGAGCGTCAATCCTAGATCTCCCACATCACAAGGCAGCAAAATACCCTCTGTAATCAGTGTGGCAACACAAGACAAACTTGATTCTCTCACGTGTGTGTGTGTGTGCGTGTGCGTGCAATTTTTCCTTGGTTTTGGGAAGCTTGGGTTTCAGGTAGCTATGCTCACTGTACCATACTGCCTTCCCCAGCCTAGTGCCCTCCAAATATTTCAGACCGCAACTCCCATCGGCCCCAGCTATCATATGGTCCAGAATATCTGGAAGGCATCAGTTTGGAGAAGAACGGTGCAGTACATCATTTCCTTTTTACTCATCCCTGACGTTTTTTTCCCTAGGAAGAATATATTTCCACACAGCTGTAAAACTCTGGCTCGACAAAAAGAATTACAATATTTATTGTCTACAAATAATAATAAAACAAGAATGATGACATGACCAGCAAATCCCAGCAGTAACTCTAGAGAAAGTTTGACCTGTGAGTAATGGCAAGAGGATCCCCTCCTTCTTAGGGCACAGAAGATGGAGGGTTATTGGTCCATAATGTGCGTTGGAACCTTCTCCCAAAGACAGTTTGGAATGTAGTATGACAATATTAAGTCATTTTACTGGAAGACTGCAGTATTTGTATTGGCCCAGCTCTGCTAGGTTCTCCACCATCAGTCACAACCACGCTTTAATGGTTCTTCAGAATTTTTTCCAGTTCAAACTACAAATACTTAAGAAATAGGATGAAAATTCATCACGTCTTCCATGCTAACTGCTATTTTAACAAGGGCTACAGCAAAACCACTGACACCATTTGGGGAAACACCTCTGTTTCCCCCTGAATTTGTTGGCACCAGCTTTGAAACTTAATGAAATTCAAACAGGGCCAAGTGTTGGAATCCTACCAATTTTCCAGTCTTTAAATCACAATGTCTCTGACCTCATTTACATGCAGCACTAAGCCAAACCATGGCTTAGCATGAACATGCAAATATGCAGAGTCTAGGAGAAGAGATCATGACAGCTTTTCTCCTTTGGTCATTCAACAGCCAGCTGTGTCATGCTGTGCTGAGCCATGGTTTGGCTTCATGTGTCATCTGAACCTTGGTTTGCAAGCTTTGGTCTCTCAGACACACCAAGGGCTGTAAACCATATGGCAAACCTTAGTTATAAGCTCATGGTTTGTCTTTTGTTGTTTAGTTGTTTCCGACTCTTCGTGACCCCATGGACCAGAGCACGCCAGGCACTCCTGTCTTCCACTGCCTCCCGCAGTTTGGTCAAACTCATGCTGGTAGCTTCGAAAACACTGTCCAACCATCTCGTCCTCTGTCGTCCCCTTCTCCTTGTGCCCTCCATCTTTCCCAACATCAGGGTCTTTTCTAGGAGTCTTCTCTTCTCATGAGGTGGCCAAAGTATTGGAGTCTCAGCTTCAGGATCTGTTCTTCCAGTGAGCACTCAGGGCTGATTTCCTTAAGAATGGATAGGTTTGATCTCCTTGCAGTCCATGGGACTCTCAAGAGTCTCCTCCAGCACCATAATTCAAAAGCATCAATTCTTCAGCGATCAGCCTTCTTTATGGTCCAGCTCTCTCTTTATGGTTTGTCTAGAGAGAGCTAAAACACGAACCTGGGTTCAGACGACACGCTCAGTCAAACCATGGCAGTGCTCAGCAATTGTGGGGCAAAGCAGCAGCAATCTCCTCTCTGGAACCCCACACATTTGCAATTAGTCATGGGCTGCCCTAGTGATATGCACAGTCCAGACCTTTACGCAAACCCAAAATGCATTTTTAAAATGTCTGCAAGTCGCCTTTCTGAGACACGTTCCCTCAAAGTGCTGCAACAGAATGTGAACATAAAAATACAGCAATGCCATATTATAATAAAACTTTACAAAGCAGCAACGGGTTGCAACTAAGTGCTTCTCAGAGTATACCCATTGAAATCAATGGCTTTAAATTCGTCATGCCCATGACCATACTGATTTTCCATAGTAAGGTATTATATTTAGTCTATTATCTTCACACTCTTAAAGGCCTACTTTTTATCTTTATTGGGGGTTTACGTGGTTCATCAAGCCAGGCACTTTCAATTACTCACCTAAAACACCTTCCATTTCTTATGCCTTCTTTCTCATAAAGCAGGGATAGAGAACCTTTCTTATGGCCAGATGGTCACAATTTTATGTGTGCATTGGCTGTATGCCAATGAAGGTTGCAGCTGTATTCCCACGT